GTACTTTTCTTACTAAGTCACAAGACAAGAACTCCTTGTGGGCACTCCATGAGATTGCTGAGCGGTCGGGTTAGAACGGATAAAAGGAAGTACTTCTTCACCCAAAGAGTGATTAACACTTGGAATTCACTGCCACAGGAAGTGGTGGGTGCTACAAGCATGGACGGCTTCAAAAGGGAATTAGATAAGCATATGGAGCAGAGGTCCATCAGTGGCTATTAGCCACAAAGTATAGGTAAGAACTCTCGGTCTGGGCCAAGGGGTGCTCTGTCTTCTTGGTGCCTGGGGGGGTGGGGGCAACAGTGGGAGGGCTTCTAGTGTCCTGGCCCCACTGCTGGACCTCCTGAGGGCACCTGGGATTTCTGGCCACTGTGTGACACAGAGTGTTGGACTGGAGGGACCATGGGCCTGATCCAACATGGGCTTCTCTTGTGTTCTCTGATGTTCTTATGTTCAAAGTCAGCAGACATGGCTAGGGACAAACCTCTCCTCAATCCCCTTTAAGCCCATCACCGGGGGTGGGGGGTGAATTTCGCAAGGGCTTCCTGTTCACATCCTGAACCTCTTACCTACCAGCTTCATTGAGCAACTTGGATGCCCAGCATCGTGGGGGAGGGAGAAAAGTTCTCTCTCCCCCCCTCCCCTTCATTAATGATTTGGAGATGGGAGTAAGCCTGACCAGCCTTTCTTCTCAGCCCTGAATTAACCAGGAAAGGCGCTCCAAGCCTTGGATCACTGGAATGGGGCTTTCTGCATCCTTCTTTCTGGGGATTTAACGGGATGCGGATTCTTCTGTCCATGACTGGACCAGTCCCCAGGGAAAGGGAGGAGATGCCAGCCTTCTCCCCCTCCCCAGGCGGAGGTCTCGGCCTCCCCCATCATCTGTTGCCAAAGTGCCCTCAAGATGCGAGGAGCTCTCTGGGCCGAGGAGGTGAGCACAAGAGGCCAGGGCTCCGGCAGTGCTTCCAACAGCGGAAGAGGGAGTGCGCTTGGTTCACACGCAGCCCAGCTGAAGGGAAGCCCAAAGACCTGTCTGGGACAAGTGCAGATTCCGCCAGAAACACACAGGGAGTCCCTCTGCACCTGAATGAAAGATTCTCGCTGGGCGGTGGAAGCCCGCCAGGAAACGCAAGCCCGCCGGCCGCCTTTTCAAGTGGCAGCTCGAGCCCTCTCCCAAGAGGGGTGCTGGGGCCCAGGAACTTGGGGTTGTCACGCCACCGTCTCTGGAGCACATGCTGGTGTGCTCTCCCTTGTGCAAACTCACTGTCCCCCCCCCCCGTGCTTTCCCATGAATCACTGTTCCAGGCACGCCTGGAAGCCACAAAACAGGCAGAGATATCCGGGGCGGACTCCCCTTCTGGAGAGCAGGGTCATTTTGCCGCTCGCCCCACTGCATGATCGGGAGGAAGCCCGCCCAGGGCAGCAGCAGACAGAAACATAACGGACAACGTCCACCGTAGAGCAGATCGTTCTGTTTGCTCTCTTTGCAGGGGGACAAGCCAGTTGCTCCTGGTGCTGAGTCGGGGCAGGATGTTGATTGGACGCAGCCACGGCCGGAAAACCACAGAGAGGCCCGACGGTCTCGGTCTCGCGGGAACTTTTAACGATTTCCTCGCACTTCCCCCGGCAGATGTCTGGTGGCTGAGGGGGACTCCTGCTGGGAGAAGCCGCCCCACACGTTTTGCACCGGTGAGCTCCACAAGTTGCATCACCTCTGTGCGGCAGGCGGTAGTGTTGGGGTATGCTTGCCAACCTCCAGGTGGGGGCTGGAGATCCCTGGGAATTGCAGCTGATCTCCAGAATACATAAACGGCAGGTGTATTATTTATTCATTTAAAGCATTTATTCCACGTCTCCTGGGGAAACAGCTGCTTTGGAAGGTGGACTACCCTACCGAGGTCCCCCCTCTCCCTAAACCTCACTGCCCCAGGCTCCACCCCTCAGATCTCCAGGCATTTCTGAACCTGGAGTTGGCAACCCTCTCTTGGGGTCCCCACCAGTGTCCCCTCTAAGCTGAATTGAGTGTGAGCTGGCTCACAGTCTTTTAGCCTCCAGCTCAGACATTTTTGCCTTCGCTCAGGAAGGATGGGGCTCCAGAGCAAACTCGTTTATGCAGCAGCCAAATCGCTGGCTCACAACTTTAACACCAGCAGCTCCCAAAGTAGAACTTTTGCTCACAAGACTCCGCAGCTTAGAGGGAACATTGCACCCCACTCTGGCTTCCTCCCGACTCTGAGCAGAGAGATACCTTCCCCAGCACCTGGGGATTTCTCACCCTCCTCCAGGACCGACCTCTCCTGCAGCCATTCAGACATGGTTGGATCTTTGGATGGGAGACCACCGAGGAAGTCCAGGGTTGCTGTGCAGAGGCAGGCCAGGGCAAGCCACCGGCTGCACGTTCCTGGCCTCGACAACCCTGCAGGGTCACTCACCACAGGTTGACTGCGACTGGGTGGCCCTTTCCACCACCAGCACAGGATAGGCACAGTCCCCTTTTGGGGCAAAACTTCGAGGCACTTTGGGGGGGTGGGGGCTGGACTCGCAGTGCTCCCTCTAAGCTGTGGAGTCTTGTGAGCAAGAGTTCTACTCTGCGAGCTACTGGCAATGAAATTGCGAGCGAGTGTAAATTAGTTTCCTCTGGAGCCCTCCTTCCTGAGCGAAGACAAAAATGGGTGAGCCGGAGGCTAAAAAACCCTGACCTAGCTCACATGAACAGCTTAGAGGGAACACTGGTTCTCTACTGGGTTCATCCTGTCAGAAACTGACGGGTCTGGATGCTCGATCCAGCACACAGCCGTTCCTGCCTTCTGCTGCCGGAGATCACGGCAACTTCGCTTTCACGGATCGGGGAACTGAGGCCCAGAAGCCAAGTCCTGTGCAGAGAGTCCCAGTTGCTGGTGGCAACTGCAGGCATTTGCAATTAAGGTGGGCTTTTTTTTATAGGGACGTTTATGGGACTTCCTCTCTGGCGAGGAGTTTCGGCTTCTCCTTTCACGGGGGACGGAGATTAAAGTCGGAATGCCGAAAGAGAGCACCCCGTCCATCTGCTGCCCGCCTGCCCCGATGCGCGCTATAAAACGGGCGTTTGTGAGACCGGGATAACTGAGCTTGACAAAAAGAGGGCCCCGCGGCCTCTGTGAAGCCCTGAGGCCCCCTGGACTCTGGAACCGCCCCGCAGGCAGCCCTGGGAGTTCTACGGTTCCCCCAATACATTTGGGGAGTCTCTGGTGTCGACAAGGAAGGGCAGGAAAAGGCACGGGGCACTTCTCTGCGTTTCCTGGGGCTGCCCCCTTCGCTTCTAGCTTTCTCTCCGCCCTCCCTCCACTAAGGCACTTTCCCACCCGCTCATCAGCCTTCCCAAGAAGCCAAATCGCACCCTCCGGGATGTTTCGGATCAGGGATATTGCACTGGGAGGGAGGCCGAATGCCCTTCCCTGCACAACCCACAATCCCAGGTGGCACTGGGCACCACACGTATGGCCTTTGGGGGGCACCTGCAACACAACCAGTGTTCCCTCCAAGCTGAGTCAGTGTGAGCCAGCTCACAGTTTTTTAGCCTCCGGCCCACAGATTTTTGCCTCGGCTCAGGAAGGACGGCTTCAGAGCAGACTAATTTACGCAGCAGCCAAAGTCGCTCGCTCGCAAATTTAATGCCAGGAGCTCACAGAGTAGAATTTTTGCTCACGAGACTCCACGGCTTAGAGGGAGCACTGAGCACGACCCCACCCCCCGTGTGCTCTGCGATGGACGATTCAGGACAAGGGGCCCACCCACTTCTCAGAGTCACTTTGAGAGCAGTGTTCCCTCTAAGCTGAGTTAGTGTGAGCCAGCCCACGGTTTTTTAGCCTCCAGCTCACAGATTTTTGTCTTAGCTCAGGAAGGATGGCTCCAGAGCAAACTGATTTATACAGTAGCCAAATCGCTCGCTCACAACTTTAATGCCAGTAGTTCACAAAGTAGAATTTTTGCTCACAAAACTCCACAGCTTAGAGGGAACATTGTTTGAGAGTCCAGTGGGGTTGGCCGAAACCCGTCTGTCTGCCACCCGGAGCTCCTTAGAGGAAAGAGGAGATAAGAACGCAGGAAGGAGGGCGAGGCGGATGTCATCTCTTCAGAGGACCTGACTCACCCACAGGAATGGTGGTCCCGTGAATCTTGTCTGCCCAGCCGGCGTAATACCGCAGGGTCTTGACGACGCCTTGGAGGTCCACGTAGAAAGCCTGCAGGAAGGGCTTCCCGCCGTTCAGCGACTCCATGGTCTGGGGGAGGCAGGGGAGACCAAAAGGAAACGCTTGGAGCAGAGCTGGCACACACACACATACACACACACACAGAGAACACCCCCCAGGCAGGTCACTGCAATTGGGACATGGCCCATGGAGAGTCGCTGGGTTTGATGGACCCCAGCTGGACAGCCAAGGCAGGCCTTCTCCACTGACCGCTCCAGTCAACAACAGAGGGGATCCCCAGGGCTGGACCCGCAGCATGGCCAGGCTGGTGAAAAGCCACTGAAGGACCTCCCCCCCCCCAGCTCTATCAAATACAGGCCAACCCAACTGCGAAGCAGCCTGAGCCACAGTGCAGGAGGGACATCAAGGAGACATCCCAAATCCCTGGTGATCTCACACTTGTCCTGCACTGTCCTCCACTACATTGATGGGGATCCCTGCAGAGAAAGAGGAGGAGGAGGAGAAAGAGAAGAAGAAGAAGAGGAGGAGGAAGAGGAGGAGGAGGAGAAGGGGAAGAGGAAGAAAAAGAAGAAGAGGAGGAGGAGGAGAAGAAGAGGAGGAGGATTTAGACTCCGCCCTTCCCTCAGAGTCTCAGAGCTGCTTACAATCACCTTCCCTTCCTCTCCCCACCACAGACACCCTGTGAGGTAGGTGGGGCTGGGAGAGCTCTGAGAGAACTGCTCTCGAGAGAATAGCTCTGAGAGATCTTGTGACTGACCCAAGGTCACCCAGCTGGCTGCATGTGGAGGAGGAGTGGGGAATCGAGCCCGTTTTGAGTCCACCGCTCTTAACCGCTATACCAAAAACATCCTTATGCCTTTGAAGACAGTTTCTGAGGGTAGCCATGTTGGCCTGGATTAGAGTCCAGTAGCATTGTGGAGACAAACAAGATTTTGAGGGCATGCGCTTTGAGGGTCCCAGTTCCCTTCATCAGGTACAGCGAGGAACTTGGACTCTAGAGCAGGGGTGTCGAACTCATTTGTTATGAGGGCCAGATTTGACATAAACGAGACCTTGTTGGGCCGGGCCAGGTGTGTCATAGAATGTAATGCCAGGTAGCAGAGATATAAACTTTATAAAGGACACAAAGGGGTGTTTTTTTATACTTAAAATAAAAACATGCTTAAAACATTAGCACTCTGGCAATATTTCGTTTATTTAACAGTGTCCGATGACTGACACCTCTCGCTCTGAATTACTGCACCAAAATGTCTGTGCCGTTGCCATCTTGAGTATGCTGTTAAGGTGTGTATCTGTAAGCTGCAAACCTACGATGACGCAGCAGCAGCAGAACTGGAAGAAGCAGCAGAAGACTGCCAGTTCCACTGTGGGCCTGATAGGAGCCCTCCGGGGGCCTCATCTGGCCCCCGGGCCGCATGTTTGACACCCTTGCTCTAGAAAGTTCATAGCCTGGAAATCTTGTTCGTCCCAAAGGCACTCCTGGACTCAACTCTCACTGTCTGCCGGCCCGTTTGGAGCATGAGAAGCTTCCCCAGAAAGCAGCTGTCAACGTTCTGGCCTATATGTGGGGGGATGGGGGGGACTAGGATGCACCCCCCCAAAAAGGGAGGGGCCCTTGGAATGTTATCGATTCTTGGATCTCAACATGATGGGCCTTGCGGGGCGGGTTCCCAGGAGGTCTCCCCTCCAGGCAGTAGCCGGCTGAAGACCTCTCCCGGCACCCTCCAGAGGGGGCTTATTCCCCTGCTGCCCTTCCCAGGGAGACCCTCGAGCTGGCAGCAGGAACCAGCGAGACAAAGCGAGAAGCCCTCCACCCCCCTTTTCAAAATAAACACAACTTAAGCAACTTTTAGCATTGTCTGTAACATAAACAGTATCTTCCAGTGACAACGAACAACACAAAACAGGTGCAGGACAGAAGCCAACGGAAGAGGCCAAATTTATCTTATACTAATCAAAATAAGACCTAAGGGCCTGGCGCGATGTGGCCCACGGGGTGGCGAAGAGTCGGACTCGACTGTGTGACTGAACAGCAACAACAACAATCAAAATAAACCGTGCAAACGGATAAAGCGTTGGATAATATCAACTAATTGCCACTAGCGTAAAATAATGACCTAACTTTAGTTTTTCCCGTGCCATCTTGATGTTTAAAACTTCCATTCCCGCGCGTGCACCTGCCTGGGCGCTCTCCCACGCAGAGCCCGAAGAACTAATGGGGAGAGGCGTGTGGCTCAAGCCCTGGATCCGCTCTCCGCCCACTCTGCCACCCCCAACCGTGCCCGGCAGTGTTCCCTCTAAGCTGATTCAGTGTGAGCCTAGCTCTCAGTTTTTTTAGCCTCCGGCTCACACATTTTTTTGTCTCAGCTCAGGAAGGATGGCTCCAGGGCTAACTAATTTACGCAGCAGCCAAACTGCTCGCTCGCCACTTTTAATGCCAGGAGCTCACAAAGTAGGATTTTTGCTCACAAGACTCCACAGCTTAGAGGGAGCATTGGTGCCCAGCACCCATTTGTTGCCCCGCCTGGGAGGGGCCCCTTTGTGGCCGCCTCTAGACACCCAGACCCGACTCCTTCCCCCAGCAGGCCATGCGGTTCTCCGGATCAGCTCTCTGGATTCCTTTCCCTCCTGATCAGAACCCAGAGAGAGAGAGAGAGAGAGAGAGAGAGAGACAGAGAGAGAGAGACAGAGAGAGAGTGGACACCTCCCGGACTGGCAGGAGCCTTCAAAAGGCTTGCCAGGACCCCTGCTGAGAGGCGGCCTATCTGCGGCTCACAGCCTCTTATTTACTGCCATCCAATAAACAGACACTCTTCTCCCAGCAAGTCCCGGGCGCTCCTTCACAGGCCTATTCCCTTCTCCCCGTGGGGGAGGGGGGAGAGAGTCTTAAAGATCCTCTTAAGGAGCCCCATAAAATTCCCACCAATTGCTTAAATCACTTTTAAGAGGCATTATTATCTCCTCCAAGGGGGGGGGGATGCATTTCGGCAGGCAGGCAGGTATCACAGACACACAATGGACATGAGCCATAAATCCCACCGATCTACTCAGGAGCAAGAGCCTTCTTTCCTCCCCCCTCTCTCCATCCCGCCGCTGAGGCCCATGGCTTTGGACGCAGCGGGGCCCGTTCAGAAAAGAACTTGGCTCCGGAATCAGAAATCCTGCGGTGGGCAGAGCCCCGCTTGTTTGGCGGAGCCCTTCCTTTCTCCCCGCGGCGATTTTTACAGCGTTTGCTGGTGGCAAGATGATTTAAGTGTTGACAAAGCGGGAATTAAGATGTTTGCCGGCTTAGTTCAAAGCACTTGACATGTGGAAAATAACATTAGTGGGGCCACCGTGTCCGTGCCGGCCACGTGAGCAAAGGGGGAGCTGATGCGTTGTGCAAAATGGATCCTCCCGTCCTCAGCCAGCGGGTGACCAGGCCACGGTCTTCCCACACTGGACAAGGGCCTTCTGCCCGGCACAAACCGAAGGCCTCTCTGCGCGCTGGAGCCCAGCACTGCTGTGGTCGCCATGGAAGAAGAAGACAACGAAGAAGGAGGAGGAGGAGGAGAAGAAGAAAAAGAAGAAGAGGAGGAGGAGGAGGAGGAGAAGGAAGAGCAGAAGAAGAAGAGGAGGAGGAGGAAGAGGAGAAGATTGGATTTATATCCCGCCCTTCACTTGGAGTCTCAGAGCGGCTTACAGTCTCCTTTCCCTTCTCCTCCCCACAACAGACACCCTATGAGGGAGGTGGGGCTCAGAGAGCTCTGACAGAAACTGCTCTTGAGAGAACAGCTCCGAGAGAACTTGTGACTGACCCAAGGTCACACCAGCAGCTCCATGTGGAGGAGTGGGGAATCAAACCCACAAACATAGACCGGGCAACAGCACATACAGCAGCCGGTCTCTCACACTGTGGTGCATGCCCCCAGCTCATGACAGGCAAAACAGTTGTGCATGCCCTAAAACAGCAGGGGTCCCAACAAACAAAGAAAAGGTAACATTTCTAGAGCACTGGGTCTGTCATGGACTTCCCCATGCCCTGCCCTGCGTGGGCCTCCAGCAGATGTACCCTGGCCAGGGAAGGAATGCCCACCATTATTGGTCTAGCCCTGAGGTGCCCAAAGATCTGCCCAGGCTTCCCAGAGCGCAGTCGGAAAACTACCGGCACAGAAAGCTACGGAGTTAAAGCTCTTGGGGCTCTTGAGCTTGGAGAAACGACAACTGAGGGGAGACATGATTGAGGTTTACAAGATTATGCGTGGGACAGAGCAGGTCGAGAAAGAGGTACTTTTCTCCCTCTCTCACAAGCCAAGAACTCCTTGTGGGCACTCCATGAAATTGCTGAGCGGTCGGGTTAGAACGGATAAGAGGAAGTACTTCTTCACCCAAAGAGTGATTAACACTTGGAATTCACTGCCACAGGAAGTGGTGGTGGCTACAAGCATGGACAACTTCCAGAGGGAATTAGATAAGCATATGGAGCAGAGGTCCATCAGTGGCTATTAGCCACAAGGTATAGATAGGGGCTCTGGGGCAAGGGATGCTCTGTCTTCTTGGTGCTTGGGGGGGGCACCAGTGGGAGGGCTTCTAATGTCCTGGCCCCACTGCTGGACCTCCTGAGGGCCCCTGGTATTTCTGGCCACTGTATGACAGTGTTGGACTGGATGGGCCTTTGGCCTGATCCAACATTGGCGTCTCTTATGTTCTTAACAGTGGCCATATCTCATGCTGGTCTCCCCACGGCCGGGTTGTCTCATATCCAGCAAGAAGAGTAGACCCCGGGCAACCCCGGGCCACTTACAGCCAGGAGCGTTCTGTCTCTCTCCACCAGATCCGCCAGCCGGTCCAAGAGGCGCCCCCTCTCCGAAGCGTCCATCCGTCTCCACACCGAGCCCAGGGAGAAGGCCAGGCGAGCCGCCCGCACGGCTTTGTCTGTGTCTGCCTGCCAAGGAAGAAACACGCAAACAAGATGGGTGCAGCGGTGCAAATGGGAAGGGAACGGCAGTGGGGAATCCGGAACTTTCCGGAGGGAGAAAGCACCGGAAGGGGGCCCTCAAAGTCAGGGCCAAAGCCCCTCACCGGAGAGTCGCGAGGCCAGAAGGAACAGGGAGAGCCGCTCGAGGTCAAATGTGGGGGTTGCAAGAGGACTGGGCCTGCCGCTCAGGACCAAGGCTCCCTCTAAGCTGCGGAGTCCTCTGAGCAAAAATCCTCCTTTGTGAGCTACCCTGCATTAAAGCTGTGAGCGAGCGATTTGGCTGCTGCAGAAATTAGTTTGCTCTGGAGCCCCATCCTTCTTGAGCTAAGACCAAAATGGGTGAGCCAGAGGCTAAAAAACTGTGAGCCAGCTCACCCTAACTCAGCTTAGAGGGACCACAACAGATTTAAAAATAAAACAGACATTTCAGTGACAACAGACAGAAGAAGAGATGAAGAGGAAGAGATTGGATTTATACCCCGCCTTTCACTACCCAAAGGTGTCTCAGAGCGGCTTACAAACTCCTTTCCCTTCCCCTCCCCACAACAGACACCCTGTGAGGTGGGTGGGGCTGAGAGAACTCTGACACAAACTGCTCTTTTTCAAGGACAGCTGTACCAGAGCTTGCGACTGACCCAAGGTCACATCAGCAGGTGCAAGTGGAGGAGTGGGGAATCAAACCCGGTTCTCCCAGATTAGAGTCCACACACTTAACCACTACACCAAGAAGAAGAGGAGATTGGATTTATCCCCCGCCCTTCACTCGGAGTCTCAGAGCGGCTTACAAACTCCTTTCCCTTCCCTTCCCCTCCCCACAACAGGCACCCTGTAAGGTAGGTGGGGCTGAGACAGCTCTTTCCAGAACTGTCCTTGAGAGAACAGCTCTGAGAGAACTTGTGACTGACCCAAGGTCACACCAGCAGCTGCACGTGGAGGAGGAGTGGGGAATGAAACCCGGTTCTCCCAGATTAGAGTCCCCACTCCTAACCACGACACCAAACTGGCTTTGGTCCAGGAAGGAGGAAAGAAGCGTGCAGCTCCTTTGCAAAAGGAAGCTGGGAAATTTAGTAAATGCAGCCATTGAGTCCCACTTTGAAAAGCAGGCGAAGTCCTGGATGGATGGATTGATGACTGTCTACCAGTCGCTCTCCGGAAGACAGAAAGGGAGATTTCTGCCTCCTCCCTGGCCCCTTCTTGAGGTCACCACCCCCTTCTTCTTCCCGCAACCCCCCCCCCCCAGTTCCTGCAGTGCAGGGAGAGCTGAGCAAACCCACATCATTGTGCCCCCTTCCTGGCACTTCGAGACTGAACCCCCAGAGTGGGAGATCCTGGGCAGCTGGTTTGGGGGTGGCTGAGGGTGGAAGCGTATCAGGCCCACCGGGACCATCTCCTCACGAGACCCCCAACCGGTGACATCACTAACCTTTATATTCACCAGGCCTCAAACCTACTCTTGCTCAGCTAATAATGAGCCGATGCAATCCAATCGCGATAGCACCTGACTGAGACCCGAGAGACACCTCACATGGTCCTGAAGCCTTCTCACCTTGGACTCTCTCAACCTAACCTACTTCCTAGGATTGCTGAGGATAAACTGTAGACGGGAAGACAACGTACGTCACCTCCCGTTCCTTGGAGGGAGGGCAGGATTTTTGAAAAACGCACTCAATAGAGAGACGGACAATCCTCAGGTGCGTCACCGGCTGAGCAAATTCCTCACAAGGTCAGGAAAGGGACTCCCTCCCTTTCTCCGCTGCATCTTTACCTTGTCCGCCTCCTGCACCTCGCAGATCTGCTCTCCGGTCGCAGGGTTGTGCACAGGGAAGACTTTCCCGCTCTCGGAATTCTGCCACTCGTTGTTGATAAAGATCTGGAAAACAAAAGGGGTTCCTATCAAGGGATCTGTCTGTAGGACAAAGCTGACCACAGGCTTCCAGTGGAATATCAAGTCAGGTTCCAGGTTTTGGTATCAACCTTCAAGACCTTTAGCGGTCTGGGACCAGCGTACCTCCGGGACCACCACCCACAGTATGTCCCCCGAGGAACGTTATGCCCTGCTGAGAAAAACTTATTGGTGATCCCCAGCCTAAAAGACATCCAAGAGTCCTCAACCAGGGCCCGGGCCTTTTCTGCCCTGGCTCTGCCCTGGTGGAGATTTCCCTTGCCCAAAAACCAGTCGAATCCGACTCCATGGGTGTGGTGCTGATCTCCGTTCTCAAGCCGAAGAGCCAGTGCTGTCCAAAGACGTTTTCTGTGGTGATGCGGTTGGCATGACTAGACGCGGAGGTGCACGGAACGCTGTCACCTTCCCACCGAAGCGGTACCTTGCAATTTCTTGCATTCGAACTGCTAGGTTGGCAGGAACTGGGGCCAGAGACGGGAGCTCAGTCCGTCCCGCAGCACTTGGGTCTCGAACTGCTGAACTACCGACCTTCCGGTCTGCAGCTCAGCATCTTAACCACTGAGCCACTTGCTGCCAAATTAACTTAACTTGTTGGAATGTTTTAATATGACGCTTTTACTGCTGTTGTTCATTGCTGAGAGCCCTGGGTACTCAGGGATCTAGCGATTTATGCATCTCATCTATAAATAAATATAAAAATTAAATAAGACCAAGTGCCAACTTTGACATTTCAAAAGATGTTTTGGGGAGATTTTTAGTTTGTGGTGGCTGAGCCCCGAGTTTGCATGTTCAGGGTCCTGGATTCGAACCCTGGCATCTCCGGGTTGAGGCTCTTGGGTGGGGAAGAAGAAGAGATTGGATTTATGCCCCGCCCTTCACTCAGAGTCTCAGAGCGGCTTACAAACTCCTTTCCCTTCTCCTCCCCACAACAGACACCATCTGTGAGGGAGGTGGGGCTGAGAGAGCTCTGACACAAACTGCCCTTGAGAGAACAGCTCTGAGAGAACCTGTGACTGACCCAAGGTCATCTGGCACATGGAAGAGATGGGACTCAAACCCGGTTCTCCAAGATTAGAGTCCGCGCTCCTTACCACTGCCCCAAACTGGCTGCAGCCACCCCCACCAATCGCCTCCCCCCACCCCCCAAACCCGGTTCTCCTGGATTAGAGTCCGCGCACTTAAAAGCATCTGACTAAGCATCAAAGGTCAGACCTAGCTCATATTGGCTCATAAGCCTGTCTTTAACTTGGCCGTTCAGTGGTTTGGGCCCACTGAGGCCACAGCCAGTCGGTCATCGATGTTGTTGGAGGGTTGTGAAATAAACGGCATCTTACCCGTGTCCTGTGTCTCACTTTGGGGGTGAGAGTGGGAGGGAACACAACAAAGAAGTCATAAAAACAAAGAGCCTCAGCTCTTCTGTTGGCTTTCAAAGCAGGCCCTTCAAACGAGCGGAATTTGGACCCGCAACTTTGCATCCTGTATATTATAGCCACTTCACATGGAAGCCCCCCTGCGTCTGTCACTCCAAATCAACAGCCCGTTCCCGGCAGAAATGGGATTTAAAGCCTTAAGTGGATTGCCAGAAATTGAAACTGGGATTCTCAGCCCCCACGAGGGGAAATCGCAGCACCCAAATCGCGAAAAACCGCACACCTCTCTGGAGCGGAGGCAAAGGAGTGGGGATTGGCCTCCCGACAGACGCCCCCCTCCCCGTCTCCAAACATAAACCGGTTTGCCACGGGAATCAGCCGGACAATGCAACATCATCTCCGACGCGGCTCATCTTCCCGGAGAGCGCGAGTTGATTGAGATGGAAGGGCCCGGCGTGGAATCGAGGGTGGCGTTTATCCTCGACGCAGGGCCAGCCTAAGACGCCTCGCCGCCCGCAGCGGAAAATCCAAGCGGCGCAGGCTCCAGCCCCACACGCGTCTCACCGTGGGACATTTGCTGGCACCGGCCTCATGGAAACAAATGCCAGGGGTGGGGACTGTGCCCGAGATACCAGCCCTCTTCTTCGGCACCACACCATTCTAACAAGACACCTCGGTATCACTCAAGGGCCTAAAAACGCTTCTCAGCGATAGACGACTGCAGCGATGCACAAAGCCGGACGCAAAGGCTCTGTTCACACCGGAAATCAAAACCTCAGAACTGAAGGTGGGGGGCTCTGGAAAACGGGGTGGGTGGGGGTGGAAAGTGCCCTCAAGTTGCAGCTGATTTACAGTAATCCTGTAGGGGTTTCAAGGGAAGAGACCTTCATTGGGGGTTTGCCCCACCGGCCTCTGTGTCATGATGACCCTGGTATTCCTTGGAGGTCTCCCATCCCTCTACGCTGAGCAAGTGTGAGCTAGCTCACGGTTTTCTAGCCTCCGGCTCACCCACTTTTGTCTTGGCTCAGGAAGGGATGGGCTCCAGAGCAAACTAATTTATGCCGTAGCCAAAGTCGCTCGCTCACAACTTAAATGCCAGGAGCTCGTAAAGCAGAATTTTTGCTCACAAGACTCCACAGCTTAGAGGGAGCCTTGCTCAGGGTGGCCCCGGCGGGGTCGAGACGAGGTGGTTTGCCGTGGCCTGCCTCTGCGTAGCAACCCTGGACTTCTTCATTGGTCTCCCATCCAAGGACGAAGCTGACCCTGCTTAATGTCTGAGATCCGACAAAATCAGGCTAGCCTGGGCCATCCGGGTCAAGGAGAGAGGCGTCCAGGGGTGGTCTGCCACTGCCTGCCTCTGCGTAGCAACCCTGGGCTTCCTGGGTGGGCTCCCATCCAAGTATAAACCAGAGCTGGCCTTGCTTAGCTTCTGAGATCTGGGTCCAATCCAGCCTCAGCACAAGCTGTGTCGAAAGGAACAGGAGGAGGAGGAGGAGAAGAGATTGGATTTATCCCCCATGGCCCTTCACTACCCGAAGGAGTCTCAGAGCGGCTCACAACCTCCTTTCCCTTCCCCTCCCCACAAGAGACACCCTGCAAGCAATGTTCCCTCTAAGCTATGGAGCCCTGTGAGCAAAAATTCTACTTTGTGAGCTACTGGCATTAAAGTTGTGAGCAGGAGCTTTGGCTGCTGCATAAATTAGTTTGCTCTGGAGCCATCCCTTCCTGAGCTAAGGCAAAAATGTGTGAGCCAGAGGCTAAAAAACTGTGAGCTAGCTCACACTAACTCAGCTTAGAGGGAACACTGCCTGCGAGGTAGGCGGGGCTGAGAGAGCTCTGACAGAAATGGCTCTTTTCAAGGACAGCTCTGTGAAAACTGTGGCTTGCCCAAGGTCATCCAGCAGGTGCAAGTGGAGGCGTGGGGAATCAAACCTGGTTCTCCCAGATTGGAGTCCGCACACTGAACCACAACACCAAACTGGCCTTCTTAGGGAGGCATCTCATTGCCTGCCTTCGTGCGCCACAAGTTGAGCCGGCAGCGACGTGGCCTGTGCCACCAAGACGGGAGGGGGAGGGCAGGGAGGGCAGCCCATCCCCCCCCAGGAGGAGGCCTCCTGGCTCCAGTCAGATGACCAAGGGAGACGATCCCCACAGACCCGAAACGAAGCCGTGGGGCTCACTTGTCGTCAGATGCAGTGAGGGACCATGCGGTTAGCCAAGACAGCATCCAGTGGCAGGGAGTTCCAGGGATGCTGTCGAGAGAGCGCTGTTTAGGACGCCCTTCCCAAGCGGTGCTCCTTGCCACCGTCCCCCTTGCTCGGGTCTCCTCCATCCGGGCTGCAGCCCTAACGGTTTTATCTGGCCGTGCCAGCCAGCGAGCGCTCCGGCATCAAGGTGGCGACGGCAGGAACTGCTACCGTGAATGGTTCACGTTCACTCCTTCCTGTTCCACTTTCCATAAACAAAGCGTGGCCTAACGCAAGCTCATTACTGTAAACCGAGCGCCTTCAAATTGGCAGTAAAAGTGGCGTATTTACGCTCCTGCCTGCAGAAAGGCTCTCTCCTCCAGAGCGCCTGGCACAGGTTCAAGTCTTGAGGCCCGGCAGCTGGCGGCTCCTTCGCCAGCCAAAAGCTCGGGTGGAAATCCGCTCCCTCCCAGAAGGCCGGTGTCAGGCCGTCCCTTCCCCGGCTGGCCGCCCGTTGCCCCAGAGAGGAGCGCAGGAGGGCCCGCCGGTCGACTCGCATTACAGGCTGGTTCGTAAAAATGCCAGGCCGTGGACCCGGGCAAGGGCGTGTGTGTGGGGGGGGGGAGACACACACGGCTGGGGACCGGGCAGGGCTGCACAGCCCCCCTTATTTATAGCCACCCTCCTCACAGGTGACTTTAAATCAAGGGGAATATTGGACAGCCAATGTTGCAGTCCCGGGAGGGCATATAACTCATCCCCAGGCCAGATGAGTAAAGGGATAGGGGGGGGGGGCCCTTGCCGGCTTCAGGGTAAACCCAGTTGCAAATTGGACAACAACACCCAGCGAGGGCATTGTTCCCCCTGCCAGGGAGGAGGGCATTCCACATTTACTAGGCCCCAGGAATCGATGTTAATTAAGGCCGACTGCGGCCGTAAATCAGACCCCGGGTTTTTACAACTTAATTCAGCTTTAAGCGTGGTTTCCCCCCCCCCCCCCCCACGGAGAGCAAAGCCGTAAATCAGACCCCGGGTTTTTACAACTTAATTCAGCTTTAAGCGTGGTTCCCCCCCCCCCCCAAGGAGGTAACTGATTAACCACTCCAGTTTCCCAAGAGTTGCTGAGGTCATTTGTTTTGCTTAGGACCCCGGTGGTGTTACATTTTGTGGCTCGCAAGGAGGAGGAGAAGGGGGTGTTTTTTGGGGGGAGATTGCCCCCCCCCGCGTCATGCGCTAGCTATGTGGCACTATGAGCAGTTAAAGTCATTTTGCTTGGGGGGGGGCATCCGCAGAGCTTGGGGGGAGGGAGACACTCCCTAAATCCGGGGAGTAACTTGGAGAACACAAAAAATCCGGGGAGTAACTTGGAGAATTTGGAGAAATACAAAAAATTCATGAAAGCTGCAGAGGG